ACAACTGATAGCCTCCTCTCGACCCCCCGATGTAGAATCTGGCCTCGAAACAGTGAAAACGACACTAGATCGGAGTAGATCTAGCCTTGAAGGTCTCGATCCTTACCCTTTGGGGCGAGAAATCGTCGCCTTCCTGGTGGTTCTTCGATTTGCTTTGCTTTGCTTTGCCTCAGTTCTTTTACTTGCTTAGATTTTCTGCTGGGGCTTCGGCCTTTGAGTTTATATATATTGATACTTGCTTTGTTTTCTGTCCGATGTTGGGTACTGTTGATATCTCTCTGTAGTTGTGGGTTCTCGGTTCGTAGTGTGATGGTTGACGTTTACTGTGCTCGTCGTGGGTCTTGATCCTCGGTTTTTTTGTGGGACTTGATTTTGGTTTGCTTGTGGTTTGGTACTGGTTCGATCCCTGATGGGTTCTGTGTGTGCTGTTGATGATGTATTTTGGACCTCTCCCCCCTTGTGACAGGCTTGGTGGGGGTATTTATACCCCCCATCGGAGGCCTGTCGGTTCCGAAATAAGGGTGCTCGTGGCCGTTGTGGCCGGTCACCCCGGGATGGGTCAGTCCCGGGGATTTCGGCCGGTCGTTGGCACTGTTGACCGTTCATCTCCCCGGTTTTGCGGTGTCGTTGAAACTGATATCATTCAGGGTTTCCAAACCCTAAACTTACCAGACTGGATCAGGCCCATCTGTGTTTGGACTCTGACTGTGACTTTGTTGGATTGGACAGTTGACCCATTTGGACCTGACACGGGAAAAAATAAAATAAAATAAGTGATAAAAATAATAATAAATAATGATGATAATAATAATATATATATAAACGTTTTCAAAAACATATAATATATAAATTTTTTAAAATGTTTTTAAAAAACTATATATTATATATATTTTCAAAATGGTTTTTAAAAATTATATATTATATAAATGTTTTCATAATGTTTTCAAAAGTATCTATTATATATATTTTAAAAACGTTTTCAAAAACTATATATTATATAATTTTCAAAAAATATATTTTCAAAATGGTTTTTAAAAATTATATATTATATAAATGTTTTCATAACGTTTTAAAAAGTATTCATTATATATATTTTAAAAACGTTTTCAAAAACTATATATTATATAATTTTCAAAAATATTTTAAAAACTATATAATATACATATTTTCAAAAAATGTTTTAAACTATATATTATATATGTATTTTCAAAAACAATTTGCAAACTATATAATATATATGTGTATATATGTATAAAATAAACAATATGGACGGAAATTAGTGTCTACACAGAGAAGAAAGAGAAATGGAGGGAAGTGCAGGGAAAACGATGGAGGAAAATATAAAAGATGGAAGGGCAAATTACATCACTAAACTTTCCTTTCTACATTCAAATTTTCACTAAATTTAATATATTAGATTTTTTTAACTCCGATATTAAAATGATGTCATTTTATAAAATACTAAAAAATATATATTTTTTACATCTATATAAAGCCTATTCATAACGACGTAAGTGAAAAGATGCCTAAATGATAAAAAATAATAATGTATTAAGTTCAGTGAATAAATTGTAAAATTTTAAAGTATAATGAGTATAATAGGGGAGAGACTAAAGATAAGATCCAATTTGTAATTTACCCAAGCTGGAAATAATCTGCTGAAATGACAATAAAGCCCTTGTAAAACTTGAGTCATTCAAATAAGACACGTGTCTGACATGAAACAAAACTCTGGAAACAAAAGGACAAAAAATACCTCAGATTTCGAGATGACTTAAAAACGAGAGTAGACACGTGTCGAAATGGTAATGATGTTTTGTTATCAATTGGCACGTGTCTTTGGATAAAGCAAATGAAAAGAGATAAATATCTGCCCTTGCCTTTCTATCTTTTCATAAATTTATTTACTCCCCTTCCTTCCATTATAGTCCTTCCATAAGGAGATGGATGTAAAATTTTAGGTTAAACTACGCATATAATACCAAAATCATTAATTTTGATCTATTTTAATATATAAATTTTTAATTTTTTAAAATTATAATTAATTTTTAGTTTTTATTTTATTTTAGTACTCGTCGTTAAAAGTTTAACACATTTAATACATAAACTATTAGTTTTGGTCTGTTTTAGTACATAAACTTTTTAATTTTTTTAAAACTTAACGTCAGCTTTTGAATAGTGATACTAAAATAAAAAAAAAAACTGAAAATTTTAAGATGGGTGTTAAAATGAAAGAAAAACTCAATTTTAGGCACTAAATATGTATTTACCCAAAATATATACTAAAGTATGAGTTTATAAAATTTTAGGTGTTAAAAATAAAGCATCAATAGAAAATATTAAAAAAATACTTATATTATGAAAAAATTTAGAGAGTCACCATCCTTATTTATCCCCTCTTCGATTCATCTGAAAGACAAACTTGCAGGGTGTACAATGCAAAAAGAAAAAAGAAAAGGGACATAAATGAAAAATAGTGAAACTCAAAGGAGTATAAGAGGATAAGACTATTTTTCGGCTTCTCTATCGGGAAGGTGATAAGGAGCAAGAAAAAAGGACACGTGGATAGACAACCTCGGGGTTCGTGTTGCAGATTTCCGATCGTACGTTCCTTCTTTCTGAAGTTTTTGTCTGAAACGTGTCATAAGATTAAGGGTAAACACTATTTAGTACCTAAAATATTGACTTTTGTCTGTTTTGGTATCTAAACTTTTAATTTTTTCAAAATTATACCTCACGTTTAGTTTTGTTTTATTTTAGTATCATGTCGATAAAACTTAACGGAAGGGCTGACGAGGTATAGCTTCGGTGGACGGATGACCAATCCGAATGGTAAGCCACGAGAGAATGACGAGCTAACCAACATAGTATAATTTAAGGCCCATCAAACGGTTGATGACAAATAATTAGATGATGTAGAAATCATAGAGTCCATCGATGATTATGAGAGATTGAAGTATTTTTCGGTGAAACGAATGGCAAAATTACGTTTAGGGGGTCAGAAAAATGCAGGTTGAAAATTTTGTGTTTTAACGAACAACGGACGCGATGACTGATGATTGTAGACGCGACGACCAATGAGCTCGTCCATTAAATTTTTAACACCGATATATTAAAATGAAATAAAAACTAAAATTAGTTATGATTTTGAATAAAAATTAAGTACTAAGAAGGACAAGACTAATAAATAATGGCGCACGTGTATAGAAGAAGAAGAAAAAAAAATTAATAATCATGAAAGAGAAAGGTAAAAAAGTGATAAAGTAATTTTCTATGTATATAATTTATATTCGGTTTATTAATTAAATAGTTTTAAACAAATATCATAAAATTTTATTTTAATATAATTTATTTTATTCATAATGTTAAAATTTATTTTTATTCGATATTTAATATTTTTAAATAAATTAATAATGAATACTAATTATCAACATGGCTAGTTTAAATACTAAGCAACTTGATATTGTTTTAGTTGGTTTAGAGTTTGAATTTTTGTGTATTTAAAAAATCTCTGTTGGGAAATTCTATCACCAAAATTAAATGTGTGACACGAGTTAATCTAAATTAATTAGAACAAAACTTTGGAGAATCAGGGGAAAACAAAAAATATAATGAACAATAATTTCATCTGTTAAGCGATTATAATAATAAAAGGGTATTATTATTTTTAAGAATCTTATTATCAAATAATTACATTTGTAAAGTATATACATATATTAACAATTGATTAAAATTCTTAAACAAATATTATTTTATAATTACATTATTATTTTTTATTAATTTATATGTTCGAACTCATAATCTTTAAAAATAATAACCTTCTCTTTAATTATTGAAATAACTTGATTTGTGCACTTTTATAATCACATTCTAAATTAATAAGAAAAGAAGATAAACTATGTATTAGTACCTAAACTATTAATTTTTATTCATTTTAGTATCACAACGTTAAAAACTTAACAAGTTTAGTATCTAAACTATAAGTTTTAATCCGTTTTAGTGTCTACATTTCAATTTGTTTCAAAAATTAACATTAAATTTTTATCATGGTACTAAAATGAAATAAAAACTAAACATTAGGTATGATTTTGATTTTTTTTAAATTTAGGTACTGAAACAGACAAAATATAATAGTTTAGGTGCTAACACATAGTTTACCCGAAAATATCCCTGAGAAAATCACATAAAATATCTGGAAGTGGGACCCACCCATGCCCAATTTGCACACGCTTTTCTTTACCTGCTCTCAATTGAATTTCGATCTTTTTGAGGTTAGCGAACAGGATCACGCCACGCGTCTCTGTCAGAATAAAACTCTTTTTTTTTATAATTTTATTATTTATTAATATGAATAATTCTTCTTTGCTTCCTTCAAAATCGAAAGATAACAAATTGATGGATTTCTTGAGTGATCAATTAATCTAAATTTAAAATCGAGACATTGAGTCACTTAAATAAAATTAAAATTTCAATAGTTTGATGATAAAAGTTTAACTTTTGACGTTGTAAATATAAAAATAGATTTACAAGGATCATTTTCGTGATAAATCTCTATAATATACATAATTTAAATTCATCGATTAATAGTTTGAATACCGAACATTATACCAAATATATATATATATATGGGTAAACTATGGGAGCAGTCCCTTATGTTTAAGGTCTAATCGAATTTGATCACCAATTTAAAAATTAAGAGAAAATAATCCCTAACATTATCTATCCAATCTATTTTAGTTCCTCATCAATTAAATTTTGTTAACTCCCTTTTATATAAGTCCCTTCTGTTTCAGCCCCTAACATGGTTGAGGGACAAATCAAACGGGAATTATCAATTGAAGGACTAAAATCAAACATATTGATAATGTTAGGGACTAAAATCATACAGAACGATAATATTAAGGACCATTCCCCCAAAATCTATCAGACCGGAAACATAAACATAGGGAGTCTACATAGTTTATCCTATATATATATATATATAACTACTTCAATCAATAGGAACTCAAATAATTTCCAATTGTCAAACAATGTAATAAAATCAGAAGAGAAACTTAAAGTCCCTTCATGTTTGTAATGGTAACACCTCCATACAAAAAATTCTCTAAAAGTCTCCAAGGTCTCATATTAACATTCAATTCAATCCAACCCTTCCAATTCCTTTGTCAAACGAATCGCTACAATCGTCGCTAAATCCGACTTCTCGATCAATTTTTCCGCATAAAAATGAGCTTACTCTTACGGGATTTTCAAGTAGAAGCCAAATTCTGGTTCGGTCGACTTGAATGGTTACCTCTCCCTCTCCCTCTCCCATCACGCCCCGCCGAACCCCCCCTAGGTCGACCGGAGAATTCAACTTGGTTTCCATATTCATTTCTTCCAAAGCTTTGGTTACCACTGTAGTTTCGTCCCCTGAAGCTGTCGTTTCGAAACGTTCCTCTTCGGGAAGGGAAACTACCTCTTCCATTAACAACTGCAAAGTAACAGCAGCATCAGATAAGCCGAACAGGTTTCCGAAAGTAAGTTATATGCGCACTATTTTTGTACCTCTAGTTGAAGTTCTCTTTATCTCCACGACAGCGTGACGCTCTCCGATTGTAATCGGTGAAGCCTGAATGGTAAAAGTTGATTACTCAATAAGCCCAATGCCCTAAAATGTGTATCAAACAGAGTTTCGGACACAAAAGATGATCATAAAACTATGTCCTTGCGGATAATGGTGTTCATACCTACGAAAAAACGGATATGTATCGAACACACCGGTATTTTGTAGGTATCTAGGGGGTAATACCCATACCTACCAAATTTGTATATGTAACTCGAGGGAAGTAAAAGGTATAGAGCAGAGAAACCGATGAACTTGAAACAATCCATCAACATATGTCAAACAGAGGCCGTACCTGAATCGCATCATTCATGGAGCTCACCGAGAGAAATTCAACAAAACCGAAACAGTACCCTTGTTGCTGAAGAAACAGAATATAGAAATATCAACAAACGAATGCAAGTGAAAGATACGTGATATATGCATTCAATGCGTAGGCAACCGACCCTATTGTTCCTAACTTGGACACCCCCTTGCTTGATTGGTCCAAACTTATTAAACTCCTGCTTGAGCTGTGCAGCCGTCATATTGAAGGGCAAGTTTCTAATGTAAATGGAATGGCCTTCAACTGCGAGTTAAATATAGTTAAAACACGCCTACTCGTACTAAAATAACGTTGTTTAAGTTCACACATAACCGGAGTAAAAGAAGCAACTAGCTTCTTTTCTATTCGCTCCGAGGTACAACAAATTATTTCTGTAAACACAACATAGAGAAAAGCGCAAGATACCTTCCTCGGGAATGTTGTTACTCTCCAGAGCATCGTCACTAGAAGGTGCTGTTGCTTCTGGTGGAGCAGACACTGCAGAAACAGGAGGCTGCTTCTCCGTTTTCTTGGGCGTCACTTCTGTAGTATTAGAAGGTACATACACTCTAGTTGGCCCTGGACTTCCTTTTGCTACTTTCACCTACAACAATAACTAATAACCTTAAACAAACAAATATACGCAAATTCTGTCGAACGAAACATATTCACTTATAAACTCACGATTGATGCATAGGATTTCTTTACAGAATCGTCTTGGGCCGAAGGAGAAGCTGATTCAACAACTGCAGGAATATCATCACTGTTTGAATGAGAGTGGGACTTCACATCAGGCATTTTTTCATTGACCAATTGTTTTTCTGGGTCTGATGGTTCGTGAACTTGTTCAGCAACATTTTGGTTCTCTTCCACAGGTGCAGGAGGATCGGGAATTTGTGTAGGCTCTGGAAGCAAAATCAAATGAATATCGAAAGAAATCTAGATTAAAAACAAGGAAAAGAAGATAAGAAAACAATGTCGCTTTACCAGGTTCTGGTGTTGGAGGCACTCTAGGAGCATCGTTAACACCATTAACTTTATGTTTCCCCAAGGGTTCACCGTCTCCTACGTACCTAAATACATCGTTCAGAACGAAATACCCATTGTCTTGAGGGGCGAGGAAAAAAGATTGCGCAAATTTTCTCTTCAAGTTATCCTTGCCCGTTAGACATCCAGTGACCAATACAGTTACTCCTTCCATGTAAGATTTCTGGGCATCAGCGGTATTAATCTCGGCCTTATGATTTGTGTAATCTACGGAAAGAATCTTCTCATTAATACCCTGTTCAAGAAAAACAATATTGCATTTTCTTTGCACTTCAGATACCGTCTGCAACTATAACATTCGTATATATTCATGTACAACATACATATATTGATGAATTAATATTTATTAGTATGTATGTATTCATAAAGAAATTCATGTTCATTACTTGTACATGTATATTCATGGACAAAAACAGGAGGGGTGCAGCCCCACTTCCCCCTCAAACACTACCTTAAATATTTGTAAATTTTCCATTCGGCTCCCTCCCTGAAATAATTTATTGTTAAATCCAGACCCTCCTAACACAAAATTCTTGCCTTAATCCCGATGCAAATTATTATTCTGGTTAAATGTTCAAATCGGGGTCAAACCTTTTAAGGGTTGCTCATATAAAAGCCAAACCTTTCAAAATGGTCAAACAAAGGCTAAACCATTTCGAAGGTGCTCGAATAAGGACCAAACCTCTTAAAATGGTGATTAATACACTGCCGAAGTCAGGATTGTGAAATTTTATCAATTAACTGAGATCATTTAGCGGGTTCTACTATATTATATCACCCTTAACCAGGCAATAGCTAATGACAAGATCATTTACTGATGCAAAAGTAAACTAAATGTAGAACCAAACAAATTTTAGGAACTTATAACATGCCAAAATGAACGCTAAAAGAACGGCGGAAAACCTTGGAACCAGCCAAAGGAACAAACATCTAGAGGCAATAACGAGCTTACTTGCATGGTTGTCACTGATGTCATCACACCATTGGAATCCGGCCGGCTAATCACACTCGAATCATGATAGAACCTATGAGCCAAATCTGGAGAGTTGTAGAGAATGTGGTAATACTGCTCGACGAAAGCATTTCCAACAACTTGGGCGCTCGGTGTAGCCGGGCGAGCCACAGTTTCCAATGCCATCTGCTGGAAGAAAAACACCACAAATAGAAAACAAATCAAACAGCATTTCCATTACAAATCGAAAAAAATAAAAATCCTAAACACTAATAATTTTTTTAATCAAAACCTATAAAAAGGCTTAATTCACTCTATGAACAAAGTGCTATATTCTCATGAAAATTCCTAAAATTAAAGAGCATTAAGCCAAGATTCATCCATAAAAAAATATAAATAAAACAAAGCCCTAATTTTCTTTGAAGAAAAGGTAGCGCATTCATTGGATCCAACCACCAAGTAGCTAAGAAAAACTAAACCCTAAGTTTCTCTTCAGAAATGCCAGTTGTAGAAAGGAAACAGCTTATAATGAGTTATCCAACATTTTTATTCACCAAAAAAATTGAACTTTACAATGACAGATCAAAGAACAAAACTTTTAACAAATATCCACCAGGTAAAAAAAACAAAAGATATATATATATATATGTTTCCTTTGAAGATTAAAAGAAAATAAGGGAAAAAGTGAAGAAAAGGGTACCTGAAAAATGGGAATGTTGGGGGTTTAGAGAGAGAGTGAGGAAGAAGAAGAAAATTGCTGTAGACTGAAGAGAAAGCCAAGGGTACCGGTTTGTTTAGTTTTCTGCTTAGGGTGGTTTTTGTTTTAAAAAGATTTAAGGGTAAATTATACCGCTAGTCACTAAACTTTGAAACTATTTGATTTAAAAATTTATTAAATTTAATAATGTTAAAAAAGGGTAAATTATAATGACTACTCAACTATAAGGTTTGTGTCAATATGACCACCATTTTCAAAATTGAGTCAATATCACCAGTTAGCTATTTAATTGATTTCAATATAGCAAGTGTTTACGTGTCAATTAACAAAATCAGTCTAACATTTAACGAAAGTGTTTATGTGACAGTTCATAAAATTAATATAATTACATATTTGATCCTCAATACTTATACATTCAATCAATTTGATCTCGTGTCAACTCCTAATTGGAAGAACACTCAAGCAACTCGGCCGCATACTTTATTTGGTTAAGTATTACAACAAACTCTATTAATCTTATAATATTGTTAATGATAAAAAAAGGAAGATTCGAAATAAACCAATTATAATACTTTGTAAACACCAATCAATTGTGTTTATTGAAAAGAAAAAACAACACTCACAAATATCTAATTTGAACATTTGGATACTTTAATTTTTATTTAAATATATTAAGCTAAATAATTAACCTGCTTACGGTATTAGGCCAATTCTGCCGAATTTGAGAGCCTCATATATATACATGGACCTGTCCGAGGTCAATGAAAATGGATGAAAATCTGATGCTTTTTAATATATAATTTGATATTTATTTTTCTAATTAGGTAACGAACTTAATTTACTAGTTCAAACTAAATATGACACTCTTTATCTAAACTACATCAAATACCACCGAACTTTAAGCGTGTATCATTTATACCACTGAATTTTCGACTTTGTCAATTATAGCAGTAAACTTTAAATTTCATTTCAATTATACTATTGAACGGCACGATAACGTGGTTGACAACTGCTAACATAGACACCTCACAAAAACGATTTCATTTTAATTCGATTGTTAAGGATTTAACGGCCCAATGGTATAATTGAAACGAAAATCAAAGTTCATTTCTATAATTGATAAAATTGAAAGTTTGGTGGTATAAACATATACAACGACTAAAGTTCGTTGGTATCTATTGTAGTTTACCCTTGACAAAAATAAGGAAAAGGTAGAATAGTAACCACCTCTAAATGATCCAACAGCAAGACCAAATTATGAAACCACGGGACCAAAATCTAAGCAAAAAGTAAGCAATTCCCGGAAATGAATCCGCACTAGGCCTTATGTTTCATATTTTCTATGAATTTTTTATTGCATGTAAGTTGCTTATGCTAAACTTTCATTTCAAGTAACAGAGTTCGAACCACAAGTGATGATGGAAGATCCACGTTATTTCATAGTTCGGACCGGAGACACGAATCGATAACCTGGCTGTAGAAACCCCAATCTTGGTTTCTTTCAGTGATAGCTATCTGACCAAATGGGTTTTGCTCGACAAAGTTGTGTACGTTATCAGCAGACGCTAACCTTTCCAAGTAAACTTTAAGATCACCTCCTTTGCCTAAAAATAAATACAAGATCCATGTGAACACTACTTCGGAAAACATTAGCAGACAAATAATTCAGTTTTCTTTCTTATTCAACATTCTTTGAACCATGATAATTTCAGAAGTCGTTTTACCTAATATATTATCGTTCATGTTGAACTTGAATGAATGTGGAAATATTGCAGTGTGTGGCTACAAAGATGAGTAGAAAATCGAAAGCGATATCAGAACCTATGATAGAAAGACAGACAAATAATAGTGACCTAAACCAAAAAAATGTAGTAGTCTGCTAACTTACAGGATTAAGCAGTGCTTTGTAGGGAGAATCGTCTATCAACAATGTGTTTGACTCGTTATAGTATCCCTTCTCCCATGGAAGGTCAGGATCATGTTTTCGCCAAAGCTTCCTCAAATCTTTAAAGACCAAGGGCTTATTTTTATGCCCGGGAGTATTGAATTGGGTCGCGGTGCAGTCGGATGAATCCTGATTAATCATTGTCCATAAAGCAAATGGATCGGAGTTGGTATTGTTCCTAGTTTAATTGCATATAAAAATTGTATTTGATGCAAAAAGCATTGATGAAATTAGACCAGTATATTGTAGGTACTCATAATATCTTAAAGAAGTACGAGGACATTCAAACATTATAGCAAAACAACATATTAATTCACGATTTGTTCAAGTAACAGCAATGTCAGTATCATCCAATGCTATCACTTATCTGAACTACATAATACTGCGTCAACAAAGCAAAGATTCAATTATAGGAAATCAAATTTTGTTACTCATCGAGACAAGAAAGCAGGACTTGTTTCTTTTCTTTTGGGAACACAAAGCAAAGGCCAAATGGATCAAAGGTTCAATCTTTGCTTTTGATAGTGATTAACCACCAATCAGCTAGAGCATTTTCTAGGCAATGACACCAAGCAGGTCTTTTCTTTCTGTTCTTTTTCTAAGAATTCAAAGCAAAGCCTAAACGGCTCAAAGATTCAATCTTTACTCTTAATGGAGATTGAATGGGAACACCAAGAGCATTTACGAAGCCATGGGCACCAAGCAGACCTTTTTTTTTACTTAGGCTGTGGCACCAAGTTGGCTTAAACATTTTTTTAGCTATGGGTAACGACAAGGCAATGGTATTTAAGATGACTTAGAATCCAGAGTATACAAAAATGTAAAGACTTCTGCAGCAATGCAAAGCTTTAACAGAAAGTAAAATGAAACAGGCCATAATTACCCAACAAAACAGCAATTTACGTTTCATATCTCCCATCAGATAATCAATAAACTTTTCCACATTTTTCCTGCAGAAGTAAAAATTCCAGCAAATAAGGTAATGTATTGATTCTCCATGGCAACTATCCAGCATTAAGAAAAGGCCATCCATTGTTTGGTTTCGAAAAGAAAAAAGAAAAGTACCTATGTCTTGAAGACCAGATACCAACTTCAAACCTCTCACAACAAAACTTTAAAAAATCATCACAGTAGGGTCTCTTAAAAACTGTGAAAAGAAAAGGGAAGGAAATTCCAAATTAGTTTTAAAATTAGTTCGAACATAAAATGCATTAACATAAGCATATGAAGTTAAGGACACCAGGTTCTCACTTGCCCTTCCTGCAATGTATGCATCTGGAGTGTAATCATTCGGCGGAGCATAGACTATATCAGCCAGAATCCCATTCAAATCAAGAACAATAAGTTTTTTCCTTGAGTGACTAATAGGAGGTATACCAATAGCAAGAGATACATCATTTGTTTCATTTGCATCAAATGAATCAATCTTTTCTTCACTATTTCCTTCATCCAATTGAGTTGGACCTGAAACAGTATCCGTTTGATCAGTGTTAGTAAGGCCAACTTCCTCAGGATGCTTATCAATTTGACTTTGATCACTACAGTCCAAGGAATCAAGCTGCTCCATTCTTTTCCTAAACTTGACTTTCTTTTTAATTGCTGACCTTGTTTCTGAAAATATCTGGGATGCATCCTTGCCCGCCTCTAAAGTTCCCGCATATGAAGTTTGTGGCTCATTTACTTCTACAAAACTATCATTTATTTCGATATTGGCTATTGGAAAAGAATCAGAATTAATTGAAAGCTCATTGTTTTCATGCAATGATCGTTTTCTATCATTCGCCTTAACCAAGTCAGCCTCCATGTTTTTCCACAATTTCCTCTATTCCTTCCTTTTTTTCATATGTCCTGTCACCAAGGCAAAAAGTATCAAATGACATGATGAAGCAAACTGATTAGTATAACATACAAATTTTAGGCTCAGAACTATTAGTTAACCGTTCATGACTCAACATAAAATTTTCTCTTCGTTGTTAGGGACCAACAAAACAATTCAATGGATTGAACATCTAGGCAAATACCATCAGGAGTCTAAAATACCAAAAAATAATCTCTAAATGCTAAAATACATTTTCTAACTCAAATCATTGAGGTAAATTATGGACTATCCACAAAACAACTGTGTACTTCCTATTTTATAAGCTCACGAGAGCTAGCAAAAACATTATAGTCCCTCCATTAAAAGCCATCTTCACCAGCTTTTGCACTAAAATTTCAAGCATAGATAGTTGTATCATAATCCTATGGTGCTTAGACTCAGGTTGAGCGTCAACAACTAAAATGCACCAGACACATGTATGCTCGATTTTCTGCAAGTTTTACATACTTTGAAGGATCATACCCCCATATTCATCTCCAAATATATTGTTGAACCTATATTTTGATATAAAAAATAAATCCCCTCTTGGCAGTTTTCGGTTGATCAATCAAGGTTAACTTATATGAAATTAGCGTTGGACACAGATACTTCAATTAAGAGAAACATAAGTCATGATAATTATCTAACTATAGAGACTCTCTCTCTATATATAAGAGGCAGGATTTGTCCACACCCTGTAAAACATTTTACGATTCGGTGAATATCTCATCAGTTTCTACCGTTAATAATTATCATTTAAGTAATCTCATAGGCTCATACAACATCCAACCATCTAAAAAAGTGTAAAACTAAAAATTTTATTCTAGACGTAAGCGGATCCTTAACCTATATGTAATAATTATCATTTAAGTAATCACTATAATGCAAAGAGCATTCTTGGTGAAAAGAATTAAAGCTTGATAAACATATAAACAGGACTTCAAAAAGATCCAAAACCATAAATTCCCCAAAGGGTTGCAAACCCAGAAACGTTGCAAAGGGTTTGTAAAAAACCCGATAAAACTGTAACTCGAGCGACGAGAAAGACAATTAGAAGTAACTAAACAGCAAATTGAACTCTAAAAACCCAGAAAAAAATAGATCAAAGAGAATAACAGACCTTTGAGAATTGGAATTGAGTAGTAGATGGGATTCAGATTTTTGTAGATAAAGAGGCTTAAAACTGGATTTTACCGCTCTTATTCCATATTTACTGTGTTTAAACCACTTGTAATTTATTCGGCCTGCTTTTTAACCGTCCAACCCAATCTTCTTTTTTGTTTTCCATAATTCTTTTAAGGGTAAACTACGCATTTAGTACCTAAACTTTCAATTTTAATTCGTTTAAGTGCCTAAATTTTCAATTTTTTCATCACCATGCTTAACGTTTAGTTTTTGTTTCATTTTAGTACTATGTCGTTAAGAACTTAGCGAACAGGCTAACGGGACATAGCTTCAATGGACGAATGACCAATCTAAACGATGGGCCACGAGAGAAGGATGAGTCGACTAACATAGTCCAGTTTCAGATCCATCATACGGTTAACGACAGAGATCGATCGGATGGTTGACGATATAGATTGTAAAATGAAGAAGTTGAAGAGTTCATTTGAGGTATTTTTCGGTGAAACGAAAGTCGAAATCACATTCATTGGGTCAAATAGATGCGGGTTGGAAAGTTTGGGCTTCATCAATCGACGGATGTGATGGTCGATGACTTAAACGCGACATCCGACAAGTCCGTCCGTTAAGCTTTTAACTGTTGGATACTAAAATGAAACAAAAACTAAACATTATGGTACGGTTTTGAAAAAAAATAAAATTTTAGGTATTAAAACATATCAAAACTGATAGTTTAAGTATTAAACACATAATTTACCCTTCTTTTAATTTGAAAATTTAAGATATGTTTGAGAAGTGACGATAAAAATAATCTTAAAAAATATAAAAGTAACATTAAAATCTTTATAAAATAAATGGTAAAGTACAAAATTGGTCCCCCAATTATATGATACTACTTTATTAAGTCCTTCGATTATTAAAAGTTAAAAAATGATCATTTGACTGTAGAATATTACTTTGCTAAGTCCCTCGATTATAAAAAATTATAAAATGGTCACTCGACTATTCATTATATTCTATATTCGTCATTTCCTGTTAAAAAATGTTGTCTAAACTGGACATTAACATGATGACTAAATATGATAGCCGTTTTGAAATTCTGGGATCAAATTTTATTATATAACAGTCAACGAGTTAACGTTCAACTTAGAATATCGTCAATTTCTTAACGAAAAATGACGAGTTTGAAATATAATGAATAATTGAGTTTGCAACACTATATAGTCGGATGATCATTTTGTAATTTTTAATAGTCAATGATATTAATAAAATAGTATCTATAGTAAGATATAATTTGTGTACTTTACCCTTAAATAAAATAAAAAGAATATTTTTTTATTATTTTCGTAAGAAAAAGGAAAGATTTATTAAATAGAAAAGTGCTACTCATTGTTTAAGTTTGATTTTTATTTTGTAAGCAATGTGGTTCGAATACAGTGAAGGTAGGTAAATTAAATATAAATTCATTATTCAATGACATATTTGATGTTTTAGTAATAATTTAATGGTAAAACAAAATATTAACCTTTTTGTTAACAGTGTCATCAATTTAGCAGGGATGTCAGTAGAGTAACCATTTTATTACAAATCGATTATGTTAGTGACGATTTTATTACAAATCGATAACATTAGTGATCGATTGTTACTTTTGAAGTTTCAGTGGTAGGGGATAATGTTAGTGACGATTTTATTATAAATTGATAACATTAATGGTCGATTGTTACTTTTGAAGCTGCAGTGGAAGAGTGATTCATATGGGCCCATAGAGGGCTAAATGCATACTCATTATTTTGTATTAAATATAGTTCAATATATTGAAGTAATAAGGAAAAAAATTGTATACACATTGAAACAAATATTAAAACTTTTGGACACTCATTTTTATATTTTAGGATCCGTCGATGTTATGTGGAAAAATAAAAATTTACTTAAATATTAATTACTATTAGTGTAGTTTACCCCATATTTTAAATAAATTTGTAAAGTATTATTTATCAGATAATCAATAAATTCTTAATAATCAAAGATATTTTCTATCGTATTTTTAAAATCTTAGCTAGAACCAAGTAACCTTATTATTTATTATTTTTTAACAAATATTATCTTGTATTAATAAGAAAAATATAAATCGTGCACGGCTCTTAATAGAATATGAAAGAGGAAATCTTGACATAAAAATAATAATTGGAGGTCTATCTCAATTACATATATGTTTTTTCATTTTATGAAAGAAAATGAAGTCAATAAGATTGATAAACATTTGATGATTTCGGTACGTTGAATGTGGTACATATGGATACATGCAGATGCAGTGCATGCAATTTCACAGTCACAGCCACTAAATTGGTGGAGACAAAGACAACATTTATAATTAGCCCCATTGCTGAAATTAGCTGGGTCGAGTTCGAGTATTGATGAGTTCGACTATACTCGAAAATATTAGATTAAAATATATAATTATGTGCATATATTTATAATGTATATTGTTATCATAAAATACAAATAAATTAAGTGATCAATTATGTTATAAAGTAATAAGTAATTAGAAGTATCATGGAAATAAAAATGTAGATAATATTAAAGTTGTATTTATAATTGGGCATAATTATAAGTACATATAATAACTGATTAAATTAGCTATATAAAATTATTATTGTCCCAAGAAATAGGTATATCATATTTATTTTATTATAGGTAATATCCAACAAGGGATTCAGGTACGCTTTCGCAAATATAGTATTTATTATATTCTTCATGGTTTGACATGATTAGAGTCTGGTTCGATTTCATATTTATTTATGGTTCGGTTCTTACAAAAAAAACTCTAAAATGGAACTCGAATCGAACTAAAAATCATGAATTGAAGCTCAAAAAAGCTTGAAATGAAAAAAATCTTAAACTTAACTCGATTGAAGCCTCGAACTCGAACATGAACCTTAAATACATGAAAAATCTCATACTATAATTTTTAAAAAATCAACACATAAATGTTAATATTATTGATAGGTTATTTTTTAGAAGGGTGAATTGCACGGATCATCACTGTACTTTGGTTTATTTCCTATTTCACTCATTGTACTTTAAAACTAGTCAATTTCATCACTAAACTTAATATAATTGACAAATTGGTCACTCGGTCGTTTCCCCACTAACGGTCGTTTCTCGTACTCCCACCACTGCCGTCTCAAGCCCACCTGCACTATGATAGAGCGACAACGAAGGGACAATACCACTTGAGTTTCGTTCGGAACTGGACAAGGAACTTAGTGGTGAAGGTGGTGAGGTGTAACAACGATGGAATCGATCGAAAATTGCAAAAATCAACAACGATGTCGAGCGACTTTCTCACAATTTGTGACATATTGACGATCAATTTTTGGTAGTTGGTGGTTGGGTTTTACTCGGGAGGTGACACCGGGACTACTGGTGGCGACGGTGTAAGCCACCGTTAGCCAGAGACGATGGATCGAAAGGGAAATGGGTTTCTGGAAATGACCGTTATTGGGAGAAACGACTGAGTGACCAAATTTGTCAGTTATATTAAGTTTAGTGATGAAATTGACCAATTTTGAAGTATAGTGAGTTAAATAGAAAATAGAGCAAAGTACAATAACGATCAGTGTAATTTACCATTTTTAAAATAATAAAATATTATAAATAGATTTAAATTTATATTAAAATTTAAATATCCATTATTAACTTGTTACAAATAGTTGAATATATATTATTTTACATTCACTTCATATTTATTTAAAAAATATAATATCAAGTAACATGTTAAAATATTTTAATTAAATTTTATAATTAATATCGTAAATATATTTTCAAAATCATTGACCATTTATTCAAAGTTCAAACTTTGCGTGCTTATACTTTTTTCCATTTGTTATATCATGCACACACGAGTATATGGATTTCTCATTTTTGTCACCTAAGCATAAAATGTTACACTATAGTCCTCAATATTATCAATATATAACATTATGATCATTCATCCGTTTACATTGAAAATAAATCTTTTTTGTTGAGTTAATCGATTAACGGAATCGACCAAGAGGGGGTGAATTGGCAATAAAAATTTTGATGGAAGCTTTTGCAGAAAATTTAAAGAAATTGCACAGCGATTTAAAGTGGTTCGACTTTCTCAACCAAAGTCTACGTCCACTACCTTAGCTATCCACACTAAGGATTTTCCACAAATTCACTAATTTGTCTTACTTTTGAGGACAAATAATAACCTTACAAACCCTAAAGAATTATACCCCAAATTCTTGAGAACACTATCTCCCAAAGAGAACAATACAAATTTGCAAACTTACAAGGAAATCCTCACAAGGTAGATTGTTTGCACAATTATAGAACAAAGAAAATAACACTCAAGAATGAATACAATTGAGCACAATAAGTGTTCTTGAAAGCAAAATGAATATTGAATGAAAAATAAGCTTGAAATGCTCAAACTTGAGGTTTGATGATTTCTCTTTGATTCTCTTTTGATTTGCTTGATGTTTCTTTTTTGTTGATCAATGGCTTCTAAGCTTGCTTAAATACACCTTGAATCACTTCTGAACGTTGGGGATGATTAGTGTAGTCAATATAGCTATTTAAGTGTGAAAACAATTAATTAAAAACAATTGGGAGCGTCAGTGCATCGATGCATACCCATGGTGCATCGGTGCATCAGTGTAAAATTCAAATATTTTGACCGTTGGACCCTTAGTTCATCGGTGCACTAAGAGTGCATCGATGCATAAAGTGCATTCGATGTTTCAAAATAGCCAGAGTACATCGATGCATGGCTGGTGCATCGATGCATCAAATGCATTCGATGTTTTCATAAAATCCTCAGTGCATCGGTGCATGGTATGTGCATCGATGCATGAAATGCATTCGATGTTCAATTTAATTCATGGTGCATCGGTGTATCACTTTGAAAAATTGATTTTAGGCTTGATTTTTGGTTCAAAATACTTTGTGAAAATTGTTTCAAAAATATATTATTATTTCAAAAATATATTA